TTCCTACCAAATGATTTTCTAGTATTAGTCAGTATATTTGAAGTAAATGGCGAAGCCCATTAAAACTTCACTGAAACTGTACACGAGTGCATAAAAAGCAGTGAGTATGCAAAAAAGTGTTACAGGCAGCTTTGTTATGCAACAATGCATGACAATATTTAGGAAATATGCAGGGCTAAAAAGGCGAGGCGTTTGTGAAATAGCAGCATAAAACACGTTCACTGCACGTTCAACTATGCAGCGTTCACCTGAACCAATTATAATATAAATAACAAGGTATATTAAAATCAAGAGAGTAGCAGTAACAGTAGTAGTAGTGATATATGTTATCTGTTAGATTGCGCTTCAAATTTCTGGGTTGACCTTTAAGAGGTGATTATCCAGGCGTCTATTGAACACGCTCACAGTGCGGAAATGCACAAAAAACGGTAGAAAAATGTTTCACTATCGAAGGACTCCTCGAGAGAAGAAGGGTGACCGTTGATTTGCTTGGCTTAGTTCGTTTTTACAATGACAGTTATGTTCCACGTGTTTGCTTTTTGGGGCCATCTGAAACTCGATTACTTTATTTTTAAATTCTGGGACATATCCAGTTTAGTAGGCTAGTCTGTGATGAAAGGGAATCGATAGGAGTCTTTCAAGCCTGGGTAACCCGCCTAAGTTGTTCAAACGCTGGTTAGTCTCTAGATTTTCCAAAATTCAGATCTATGTTCATTTAAACAAAGAGTAACAGGCTGCTTATTCGAGAACAGCAGTATCTATGCATGAGGGAGTTTATAATGAGGTTCTTTTTTGGTGAGAGACGACTCGAATCGGGCGGGTTTACTAATGGGACGACAAACAACACTCTCTGTGTAACTGTTTAGCAGTAATGTGGCTTTTAATATCAATCGTAAGCTCCTCAACGCTCTTCTGTTCGTAGAAAGATTAATTAAAAGCAAGTGCGAGGAAACATAGCAGGTGCCACGTCATTAATTGTAAAACACGAAAACCACCCCCTATGTATATTTATTATTTATTTATTGCCAGTATACCGCCGAACGTACACGCGTCCAGATCTGGCGCCATCTCCGAGGGACCCGCGATGCGATATCCGCATGGTACCTCGGAGTGCCGTCTGCCAAACAGGTGTAGGAGTGGCCCACTCCAATTCCAAACGTCAGAACTACACGCGACTAGTTCTGTCGCCATCATCGAGGGACCCACGCTGCGATATTCGTATGCTACCTCGAGATGCCGTTTACAAAACGGCTGTAGAAGTAGCCAACTTCACTTCCGAATACCAACCATACACGCGCCCAGATCTGGCGCCAGCTTTGAGGGACCCCCGATGCGACGTCCGCATGGTACCTCGGGATGCCGTCCGGCAAACGGGTGTACCGGTAATTCCCTCTAACTTCCACCGCCGGCCATTCGCAGTTCGTGCTATGAAGCCATCCTTGATGCACTGCAACTCAGGCATTGGTCAGGCAGTTGAACGTGGATCGTTCGGCAGGGTTGTTACAACCTTACTTAACCCCTCCCAATCCTGTTCAACCCTCCACGGTGGATTTCTATTGTCGCCTAAGACTCTCCTTATCGGCCCAGCTGGCCCTAGTGTACATACTTTGTTTGTTCTGAGAATCCACATTTTTTTCGTTTATTCGCCAGTTTTAACTCACTGTTTTTATCACTACGAGTCATTTTTGAAGGCAGTCAGATCGCCCGCTCGTGCTATTACCAGCCCTGATTACTGTAATAACTCAACTCATTGTTCTTATACTTACGAGTCATATTGTAAAACAGTTCACCCATCGCCTTATGCTACTACTTTTGGTGATTACTATAATTATAGTTCTGCTAGCTCCCTCCCCATTCCCTTCCAATCTCGCCTCCTGACAGTCCCACAGACCTCAACCAAATTGTTGATTAATTTTTTCGACGAGGCGTCACACACTTCATCGTTATTTTTACAATATCCTATTTGTCTGATTACTCGCCGAATCCACTATTGGAATCCATATAAAAAAAATAGTACCAAGACAAAAAGAAGCGTTCTGGACTGAAACGGCCTAACAGAACTCCAGGCCCCGGCTGCACAGAAGGTAAATTGCCACGAGACCCCGCTCTAAGAAAAAAACAACACCAGAGTCAACCTCTTTTATTATTATTGAAGAACTCCAAACATTACACGAGTGGCGGTCGTGTACGGAGCCGTGGACTCTCAGTGGATACCGGAACCCACTGTAGTAGACTGCTTCTCCGCATACAGTCTCAGGCAACTGATGGCCAGGTAAGCTGCCATTAGACAGCATTCAAATTAGGTCCTTAACCTGACATATTTTGTAGCAAACCCGGTTTTAACCTCTTTTTCAATTATTTTAGAACTCCAAACATTACACGATTGGCGGCGATGTATGAAGCAGAAGGCACTCAGATGATTCCGGGACCGGCTGTAATAACCTGTTCGAGGCGGGGCAGTCTATTAGAGCGGGTCTCGGAATCCACTGAGATTCTATTGCGCCATACACGGCCGCCACCCGTGTCATGTTTGGAGTTCTAAAGTAGTAAGAAAAGAGGAAATAAGCGGATTTGCTGCAAACTATTTCTGGTTGCAAGGTTGTAACAACTCTGCCGAACGACCCGTGTCCAAAGCCTGACTAATGCCTGAGTGGTCGTGCATCAAGGATGACTCCAGACTTGCAATGGGTCGGCAGTGGAAGTTAGAGGGAATTACCGGTACACCCGTTCGCCGGACGGCATCCCGAGGTACCATGCGGACGTCGCATCGAGGGTCCCTCAAAGATGGCGCCAGATCTGGGCGCGAGTAGGGCTGGTGCTTGGAAGTGGAGTGGGCCAATGGAGTCTCGGGCAATTCACAGCCAGGTAAGCTGCCATGAGACAGCGTTCAAATTAAGTCCTTAACCTGATATATCTTGTAGCAACCACGCTTATAACCTCTTTTCTTAATATTTTAGAGCTCCAAACATTACACGTGTGGCGGCCGTGGAGGGAGCATTAGCCTCTGAGCAGACAGTTTGTGGTGCACTTGTGCACTGCGCGTACTCCAACAGCATGTATCGACCGCCTGTCAGGTGTGTTGCCACGGGTTGCATTGGAAATATTGTTTTTATTTTTATCCACCTAGTGGCAATTATGTGTTACTAGCTATTGTTCTTTTTAGTATTCCCAATGCAATTTTCGAATGTATGACTGGCAACAGTCTCGTGTCATTGCCAAGCATGTAGCGAGCCATGGTACGCCCTTCAAGTCAGTTCTTTATTGAAGTAGCGAAACTCTATTAAGCCGTTTTTTTTTATTTTAGCTCTCCTGTTATCGTGAGCGAGGCGGTTAATCTTCGGTTACGCGAATCGTCCCACTGCCTCTCCAACTCAGGAGATGTGCATGCGTCTGGCCACCACGAGCTATACTCATCGCTATCTCTGAAATCGATTGTTGAAGGTTATTTGCATCGAATCCTGTTTTTTTTAATTTCTTTTCTGACGGTTAGCAGCTGATTGCTCAATCGTTTTTCTTACAGGCGAGCATCTGGGCAAGTCATCTCCGCCAAAAGTGGTAAGTTTGGGACTATGGAAGTATCTCGTTGGCCTTTCCTCGGAGAATTGAGAATGTCATTCTATGATGCCCATTATTCTTCTTCTTGTTGTAGAAACGCAAACGGTGGCAGCATAGGCTGCGAAGTTTCTTCCGCGGCCTTTGTTGTTGGCAACGTCCTGTCACGGAAGACTAAATGACTGTGTTGTTGATCCTACTTATTTTCTTCCCTCCCCTTCCCAGCTGACCACAATTTCCCCAGGAACGTTGTACATAGTATTTTTGTGACTAGGAAACAGTGTATAGGAAAAATACAGTTGTGGAGCCTGCTGTTTTGACATTCGACTTTTGTGTTATTAATCAATATGATCGTGTGGTCCGCTACCAACTTGTTCTAGGTGACTCAAATGCTGTGCTGTTTGTTACTTAGGTAGGAATTCTCTGTATATCCAAAGCAGAAGAGGGTTCTGATGGGCGCTACCAACTCAGCTATCCCACACGTCTAATGCGCCTCTATTACTTCTGAGCAGGGAGACATTTCATCTATTGCCTGTCGAGTATCAATCAATATTGGTTTATTGCGTCACCAATCAAGTCTTTTATGCACAAGGACTTTACACTTCCGACGTGGTCCGCGAAGTTGGCTTTCAGGTGGCAGCCATTAATGCAGGAACTAATAGTTATCGATTGGTCTTTGGCTCTAAATATACTGTTATTCCACGCGTTGCTATAAGTTGAAGCCTAAGAGCTATGAGCTCTTATTGGCAGACATCGCGGCTGAGCATGTTTCCCAGCGGCTAGAAAAAAACGGCCTTCCGCGACATTAATCCATAGTCTCCCTTCGCCACGATCGACTACACCTCTGTGCCTGATCGTAGTGCGATAACCAGACGCAACATCTGGAGAGGGGAC